GGGGGGGAGGGGGGGGGGAGGACCCGCGTGCATGAGCCAGGCCCATTTGAGGCGTGGGCCGTGAGCGCCGGCAGTTATGTACTACTTGTTCGTATGTGCGGCGTGTTAATTTGAGTGCCGATGTAGCGCCTAGTTAATTGTGGACTCGCTGGGCTTATCGGCCGTGTCACATCACATCTCGCGGTTTCACTTTCAGATAAAAGCAAAAAAAAAGGGGGAGCTAGCGAGACGAGGGTGATTTGCCAGCGGGCACATCACAAGCAGAGATGCAAATCGCGACAAACAGCAAAGCATGTAGATACGCCAGACCACGTCTCACGTAACAGGCTTCGCGATCTCTCACGAAACACTGTTACGCTGCACCACGCCATGCATGTAGGTACATCTACCGGCCTGCAGCGCAGACACCTCATTCGGTCAAAACGCAGAGTCGTTAATAGGCCTTCGGCACCAAAAGTCACAAATTTTGCCCCCCAGGGTTGTCTTTTGACGAGTTACCCCACCGCGGAGACCATCAAGTATATGAGACAAAACATTTTAAAAAGCGTGAAAAACTGCCTCTGGCTCCTAAACGGTGGAGGATAAAGGCAAACGGACGAAATTTTGGTCCTCTAGAATCTACATTAACGAGTAACCCCTAAGGAAACAATAAATTAGCAATAAATTCCAAATGCTTTTTAAATGGCTCGTTCTCGACCAATTTTTGAGCAAGGAAGGCATCAATACAGTTCTTGCATTTCATGATACAAAGCTACACTGAAAATTTCAGGTACCTAGCTCAATCCGTTCTCGATTAATCGTGACGACAAACAGACAAACAGACGCGAAAATTTGTGATCATCACTAGAGTAATAGGCCTCGATATCGCTCAGCCAATAACGGACAAGTGAACACAATTTCTTATTATTTTCCGAGTGTAGCTGACCTACAGGTAAACAGGCTGCAGGTGCATGCCACGGTCGCTTCGAATTGGGTCATTCGCGAAGTGTTTGTTTGGTCACGGGGCGCGGAAGGCTCACCCACAGGGCGGCCGCCGCCCCCGCACCGCGCTGTCGCCTTTGGCCAGCCCCGGCCCGGTTCTGCATTATGCCTGTTGACCCAATTTTCGGTGTGATTCAGGTGGTGCGGATTATAATGGAGGCGATCGCTGGCGCGCCGGGCTTTGTGGGCAAACATGCATTGGTCACGGCGCTGCGCGGGCGCTGCCCTGCCGGCGCGCGGGGGTGGGTGGCCCCTGGCAATAACTGGAGCGGTGTATTGTTTGGGGCAGGGTCGCGGGCGAAGAGTGGTGTCATCGGCCACGTCCGCCAAACGCAGCCCGCACCTTTCTTCCTCAAGGTCAGCAATTGTCTGTTGTCTGCGCCCTCGGGCGAAACCAGACCTCACCTGGCTGGAAGGGATATTGAAGCAAGAAAGAGAGAGAGAGAGAGAGAGAGAGAGAGAGAGAGAGAGAG